TCTCCCCCAAACTACACCCAATAGCCTCATATAATGTAGCTTACAGTTCTCTTTCTTCGAGTTAACATTATAAAATAATCCAGTAGACTTCACTATATAATAAAGATACTTACTTTTAAACCATCAACTAACACTATTCTCAGTCATAACGTACCACTATTGAAGAACACAAAAATCAAGCTTTCAGTGAAAATGTCTGCAACGCTATAAAAGACCACATCTCCCTTTTCATACTCAGCAGGGCCAGGCGGCCATTAGTCTTGCCACAGTAAAAGAAAGTTACTTATCAGCAGCTCTTTACTCACTTTCTTCTTTCTTCCCTCCACCTTGCAATCTCTTCTGGAGTGTCTAGCTTGATCTTCCTCATACCAGGAGCATGCATCTAAGGGCAGAAAGCCTGCTGAACATCAGGAAGCATACTGTGTGTTCTTAACTAAGTGCAACATTGTATCCAACATGAAAGTTACACACAGAAAATATTTTAAGCTAACTAGCATTCTTACTATGCCTTATCCCTCAAAAGAAAAGCAACCACTTCTCATGTAGCTGGATCAATGCTAATGATGGGGGGGGGAAGCAGCAGCATAACTTTTCTTTTATTTATTTATTTTTTGGTTTTTCGAGACAGGGTTTCTCTGTGGCTTTGGAGGCTGTCCTGGAACTCGCTTGATAGTCCAGGCTGGTCTCGAACTCACAGAGATCCGCCTGCCTCTGCCTCCCGAGTGCTGGGATTAAAGGCATGCGCCACCAACACCCGGCATAACTTTTCTTACATAAATGCATAATCCATTTTCTCAACTGACATTAAATACCCGTGACCAACTCACCAAGCAAAATTGAGGGTGACAGATAAAAAAAAATTAGTAGACATGACCATTTTTTCACATGTCTTTTGTTTATTTTAGTTCATGCAAGCATGTGTGCATGTGTGTGTCTCTCTATGTGTGTGTATGTATGCAAGTGCCCTCAGACACCAGGACACTGGATCCCTGAAACAGGAGTTACAGGCAGGTGTATGCTGTCCAATGTGGGTGCTGGGAACTGAACTTGAGTCCTCTAGAGGGGCAGGACGAGCTCTTAACTGCTGAACCATCTTGTCAGCACCCAGACATGGTCATTTTAAGAAGCATGGCATGGTCAAACCAGCATACAACTTGCAAGTGCAACAATCAGGTCTGGGTAGGTAAGCCATTCTTCTCAATCTGTAGGAGGAGTTAACAACTATCTATTTTGCATGGTTTGAGACTAAAATAGAGTAAGAGATGTAAAACTCCTTTACAAAGTACAAAACGCTGCATGAATATTATTCACTACTGACACACATAGAGAACACATTTAAAACGGGTGAAAAGTCATTAAGAACTTACATTTTTCCAATGAAACTGGACAATCTTTTCGTGTGCACTAAAAGAACAATCTGCTTCAGGGCACTGAAAAGTTTAACAAGAAGAAGACACTTTAATGATGGCCACAATTTAATGGTTCACACCACCAGAGGTCTACAGACTATGGTTGGCCAGTGATTATTCTATCTATGCTATCACTCCTTTATTCTTAGAGCAACAGCAAAACACAGATCCCTCTGAAACAGCTGCACTTAAAGGAAACAGCATCCTTGAGATGAGCAGCACGGCTACTCCGCTCATTTCCTCTCCCATTTGAGTGAAACTAAAACTTTCCTAACTCCTAAAAGTGAGGCATTCCTGCAAATGATGTTTCTAAAACAAGAGCCTTTTGTTTTTTAAACAGTATTTTTTAAACCATCTGGGTTATATTTAGAGAACAGCACACTATGACAAATCACACGGTGAGCTGCAGGTCAAGACGGCACGAGAGGGAAAGTGTTCAGAGCGGCTCAGGCGACTGCAGGGGAGAGGCCCAGCTCTCCTCTCAGGTAGCCATGGAGGAGCACATACAGGCTGCCTCAGCGCCTCCTCTCCAGCAGCAGTGGGTTCCCCACCTCCAAACTCCAAATTCCAGGCACTGCCCCCTGTGCCAAGTCATCAAACATTTCTTTCTGTAAAAACTAGGAAACTTATGAGGAAAATAAACTTGGCATGTTCACCAAAAATACAAATAAGAGGCCATTTCTACATCAGTTCAGAATAACCAGAACCTACTTTTGTATGTTCAGACATATGGATGTCATATTTTTCTTGATTTTTAAAGCCACGATCACAGGTATCACAGAAAAAGTGGAAAACCGGTTCCTTTCTTTTCTGCAAACAAACATAAAAGCAGTAAGACTGTGGTACAAAATCTCTGCTCAACCAAACATAACTCTTCCAGGAATACATATTTGATTTGTTTTAAAACATACCCTGGGGAGAGGGATTCTTTTATTTTTTTAGCAATATAAAAAAAGTCAGACACAAAAAACAAAATTTAAATCTAAAAGGAGCTAATTCAAGCTATAAGATTTCAAGTTAGAGAGACCCAATGAAGATTTGGTATAGCATCTGCTAAGATCTAAAAGTACCTATTTAAGGCAAATAGGTTAAGGGGGGGGAGCATCTCTCAAAGGAGACTATACTAGAATACTGACAAAGGAAATAACCTCCATTTTTTAAATGTTATATTACTGTTCATGTTAAATGGACTGTTAACAGATATACACTGTGTAATATGAATAACATGAGGTAAAAGTTCTCACAATAAGAGGACATTAATTTCAAGTTCTATACCAGCAGTTCTCAACCTATGGGTCACGACCACTTTGGGGGTTGCATATCAGGTATTTACATTACAACCCCTAACAGCAGCAAAATTACAGTATTATGAAGTAGCAACAAAAAAAAATTTAATGGTTGGGGGTCACCACAACATGAGGAACTGTACTAAAGGATCGAAGCATTAGGGAGGTTGAGAACCACTGTTCTAGAAAGTACTCAATCTACCCTAAAGTAATTGTGCTATTTATACAAAGAAGAAGAAACCTGGCCTGTAAATTAGGTTCAGACAACAATAAAGAAAACCTGTTCTTAATGTAGTATGTGGCTTGTGACATATAACCAGGCATTACTCCTCATATGAAAAACTGTCTTCCAGGCAGGTAAAAGCATCTGCTGCTAAACCTTAGGACCTGAGTTCAATCCCCAAGACCCACATGGAGAGAACCTGCAAGTTGTTCTCATACCTCCACACTACGTACCTACCCCCAACAAAAATAAACGTACAATAAGAAAAAAGGCCTTCATAACAATGACAGATACCCGTTACTGAAAAGATGAAAATCTTACAACCGGGACAAACAAACATTAATAGCACAATAAATCCTGTCTGGATTTAAGACACTATGTGCACAGCTTGGGAAAATATAAACTCTCCTAAACTAGAAACATTAGATTATAGCTCAATTGAGTTTAACAAGAAACAGGGGGATCTGCTTTTATATCAAAGAATGATTCTTCCAGGCTAAAAAGCAACAAGCTTATGAAAAGCAAAAGATCTGTCATCACAATTTGTTTGTGCTTCCAACTCAGTAAACGCTGAGAATTCCAGTCTTCTAATTCCAGCTGTCGGTCCCATCCTTCGTAATCTTCTAACAATACTTATATATATTTGTAATCGTAATCCTCAATTACGTTTGTGTATCCAAACAGATTTAATGTTCTCTCTTTCTATAGCTTCATCATTTTTTTTCAAAACGACTTTACTTTTTACTTGGGGTTAAGCGCCTTAAAAAATCCATAATGGATGTGAAACACAGACAGGAAACACACAAGATATGAAGCAGTAAACCTAAGGCTCAAAGTGCCACATTCATATCTCAGAAATACCTTCTTCTGTTTTCTGTTTTGAGGCAAACTGAAGTCACTGAATTTTGCACCGTGTGTTCGTGGAAAATAAGAATGTGAAACTAAAAAAGAAAAGAAAGATTCATTTAAGACTGCAAATGTACAATTATTTATTAACCACCTTTTTGTTTTTAGACTTAAAAAGGAAAAAAAAAATGTAGGTAGTATGAGAGTGCAGGTTGCCATGGAGGCCAGACGAGTTATCGGTTCTTCTGGGGCTGGAATTACGGGTTGTTAAGAGTCCCCTAATGAGTGGTGAGAACCGAGTTCTGGTCCTCTGCAAAAAAAAAAAAAAAAAAAAAAACGCAAGACCGCAAGACTCTCTTCACCGCAGACCCATTTCTCCAGCCCCCTCCCCTTTCTAATGCATACGTGCAATCATTACTTTCTAATGATTTTTGTTTTTCTGTATTGCATCTTCCTATATTAGGGAGGTAGGAAGCCCCCAAAAGGTAAGAAATTTTGTATGTTTTGTTCGTTGCTATCTATGTTAAGTAGCCCCCAGTAAATAGTTGGATTGAATTAATAAACTTTGAATGAGTAGACAGAGGGAAACCTTCTAGTGGGATAACTTTTCAATATTCATTACGAGCCTCCAAAAACACAGGGCAGAGCTGAGAGATGAAAGGGGAAAGCCGGGAGAAGGAAAGGGAGCAAGCAAAGGGGTACCACGAGAAAAAGCAGCTCACCCGAAGAGTGGTAGGGCGTGTGATACGCGGGGTAACCATTAGGAGGCAGCCCCCAGTACCATGGCGTCGAGGCTTGGAAATTCCAGGCCGGCTGGCCGCTGTACTGAGGCTGTACATCCAGCGGGGCCTGGGCATCGAAAGGAGGCTGCGCGGCGGGCAGTATCTGAGCATCGAACGGGGGAAGCGCTCCGGGCAGAGGCTGGGTCTGCACGTGGGGTTGTTCCTTCTGGCACGGCTCGGACCCCGCCGCCGGGGACGACAGCGGAGGTGGCGGCGGTGGCAGCATGGCCCAAAACACCCAATTGTCCCGCGGCGGGGCAGTTTCGCTCGGAGTCCCCAGCGCGGGCGTCATCTCGGGGGCTGAAGGCCAGCCGGCGGCGGGACTCGGCTCTGCCATGCCACATAGCAAGCGGAGCGCCCAGCCTGCAAGTGAGGCACTAACATTAAGCGTCACTTCCGCTATGGCCGTCTGACCTATGGGCCAATCGCAGGCTTACGTCATCAGACGGAGCCGGAAAAACTTCCGGCCATCGCTGCATAGCTTGGTCTGCCATCGAGGCTGGGTTTAACCTGCCTCTGCAGGTTGGCTTGGTCGCTGGGCGACTGTGCGTCGCAGCGAATGGCTAGGGACCTGATTGGACCGGCTCTGCCGCCAGGCTTCAAGGAGCACGCGACAGCTGAGGACGAGGAGCGGGACCTGAGCCCGGGTAAGCAGCAGCAGGCTCCTGCACTCGTGGGAAGGGCTGGCGAGCGCGGCGGAGTGGGCGCGACCAGCCCAGAGGAGCAAGCTGCGCACAAAGGAGTGTTTGGGGACCTGATCATAATTAAAAGAACGATACAGTCCCTAATTGCTATTAATGTGAGCCAGATTGTGCGGTGAACAGGTCTGTGCTAACTGATCAGTCCGCGTCAGGTCGTCCGTCTAGCCCTTCCATCAACTGTGTAAAAAAAGATCATGATCCATACGTTACAAGTGGTGACAGCGACTGGTGAATTGGTGCCTAGGTCACACAGCTAGTCAGTAATGGAACCCTTCGGAGTTAGAACACCCTTGCCGAAGATCCTATGCCTCTCTCGTCCCTGGCCTGACTTCCTGGCTTCTCGTTCTATCAATCCATCTTACACGCGCAGCCCAGTGCTCACACAGCCCGAGTTCATGCTTCCTCAACGAAAGGCTTCTTTTCTCGGCTCCAGTTGTACGTATATGCCTGACAACTCCAACACATCCTTCAAATCCCAGCTTAAGTGTCTCCTTCCTCCGCACGGTGGTGGCGCACGCCTTTAATCCCAGCACTCGGGAGGCAAAGGCGGGCAGATTTTTGTGAGTTTGAAGCCAGCCTGGTCTACGGAATGAGTTCCAGGACAGCCCCCCCCCCAAAAAAAGTGTCACCTTCCTGACCATTGTCACATCTTCCTCGGGGTTTTTCTCTGCCCAATTACACATAATATCTAACACACTCTATTCGAATAATTTGTTGACGTCAATTTCCACCATTTCACTATGTGTTGTAACGTTACCATGCAATAGGCACGTCCAACATACATCAATGTCTCTCATTCTTTCATGCTCTTCTGTCTTTAATGTTTGTTCAGTGTAGCCTGGGAGTGACTGTAAGGATTCAGGCATTATGCTGGCCTGCCTCTGTCACCTGGCAGAATGCACTCAGGCATTACCCTGGTCATCCCAGGGTTCCATGACTACTAGTCTGCAGGCAGGTGCAAAGGATGCCTTTAAAAGACAGAGCCCCTGCCGGGTGGTGGTGGTGCACACCTTTAATCCCAGCACTCGGGAGGCAGAGGCAGGCAGATCTCTGTGAGTTCGAGGCCGGGCTGGACCGACAGCCTCCAAAACAATACAGAGATCTCGTAAAAAAAAAAAAAAAAAAAAAGACAGAGCCCCGCCCACTTATGCTCTTTTCCCACTATTCCCCTGGGGACAAACAGGACTTTTACTGTCTCCCTCTTCCCTTCCCTCCCCTCCCCTCCCCTCCCCTCCCCTCCTCTTCTCTTCTCTTCTCTTCTCTCTATCTCTCTCTCTCTCCCCCTGTTTTTTCTTTCGTCCCCACTTCCCTAGTCTTTCTAATAAAACTCATCATTTAAGCTCTGTCTGTCTGGCATGTTTGTTCCCCACCTCGGTCACCCTTGGCTGCCGTGGAATCCGACAAGGTTCCCCACGCTCTTTATCATAACAGTGACTATAGTTGGGAAAGAACAAAACTGAAGGAATATTGCAACTATTTCTAAATCTTATTTTCCTTTTCTGGCTACCCAGAAACTGTTTCCACCAGAGTCTTCCTTACAGATGTTGGTTCTAGTGTAGCTATTGTGTGTGTGTGTGTGGAGGGGGGGTGTTTCAAGACAGGGTTTCTCTGTGTAGCTTTGGAGCCTCTCCTGGCACTTGCTCTGTAGACCAGACTGGCCTTGAACTCACAGAGATCCACCTGCCTCTGTCTCCCGAGTGCTGGGATTAAAGGTGTGTGCCACCAACACCTGGCATGTAGCTGTTTTTTTTTTAATTCCTTTTATTTCAGGATATTGGTAGCTCATGCCTTTAATCCCAGCACTTGGGAAGCAGAGGCAGGTGGATCTCTAAGTTTGAGGCCCGTCTGGTCTACAGAGTGAGTTCCAGGACAGCTAGGACTACACAGAGAAATCCTGTCTCAGAACTTTTTCTTCTATTCTTTTTTTATCAAGAATTTTCCACTCAATTAAGGTTAAAAAAAGTGAGCCGGACGTTGGTGGCCCACGCCTTTAATCTCAGCACTCGGGACGCAGGCAGATCTCTGTGGGTTCAAGACCAATCTAGTCTACAAGAGCTAGTTCCAGGACAGCCTCCAAAGCCACAGAGAAACCCTGTCTTGAAAAACAAAAACAAAAAAAAAGTGTGAGTGAATTATATCGGGTAAATACCCTGCAACATATTTACATATTTTAATGGTGCAGATATTTACATAGATTGTGTTTTGGCTTTTTTTTTTAACTCTTATAAAGAGTGCCACTATGCATTGTGTGTGTGTGTGTCTCCTGTGTAATACCTCAGCTTCAGAGTCCTACCAATTTACCAAAGTCCTGGACAAGTATGGGAATCTGATTCTTCCATGTTCTCTCTAATCATTTTTCTCTGTTTTTTTAATCTAGTGTTCTGAAGCAGTTTTTTATGGTACTTCAAATTTGTATTTCCTTGTGAGAAATGAAATTGACCATTTTTCTTATTTTTTTTTATCATTTTTACCATTGTGCTATGATAAAGTCTTTTGCTCATTTTCTATTGAATTGTTTGTCTTTTGATTTGTAGAGGTTTTGAAATTATAATACAAAGCCTTAGGTTTCATTGTTCGTATTCATGCGTGTGGATGTGTTCACGTGAATGCAGGTGCCTGAGGAGGCCAGAGGTTGTGGGAACCCCTGAAACTGGAGTTACAGGCAGTTGTGAGCCTCCTGACATGGGTGCTGAGAACCAAACTTGGGGGCTCTGCGGGCTACACTCTGGACTGATGCCTGACCTCATTATGACATTTTTAAACAAAAGCTGTTTCTGGTGTTTCTTCTCCACACTCCCCTCACACCTCTTATATTCTTCACCCATCCTTTCCCCTTTCCTGTCTTATGTGTGTCCCCCATTCTCAATGCTTCTTTTAACCCCTTGTGGTCTCCTTTCTAGTTTCATAGCTTATATCCATACACACCCCATTTATATACACATGTGAACATTATAAACCATGCTGCTCCTATCAGAGAGAACACATTATATTTGCCTCTCTGAAACTGGGTTTCCTCACTATAGAACATTTTCCAGTTATATCCATTTTCCTGCAGCTTTCATGATTTCATTTTTCTTTATAGCTGAATAAAATCCAATTGTGTATTTTATGCTGTATTTCCATTATCCATTTATCTGTTAATGAACATTTAGGCTAACTCCATTTCCTCCATATTGTGAGTAGAGCATCAATAAATATGAATGTGCAAGTGTTGCTGTACTAGTTGCAAGTCTTTGCTAAGCTTGACACAAGTCTTTGATCATGGTGTTTCATCATAGCAATAGTAACCCTAACTAAGACACTAGTCTTTTTCTTTCATGTTATCATAAAATACTAATCAGAGCTACTACATTAGCCATTTTTAAGCATACTCTTCAGTGGAATTTGTTATAGTCATACTGTTTATGTAACCACCACCGCCGTTCATCTCTAAAACTCTTCATCTCACAAACTGAAATCTGTTGAATGAAACTCCTCATTCCTTCCTTCCCACAGCTCCACACATTCTGTTATGAATGTGGAGTTCTAAGTACCATCTGTGAGTGAGTCAAACAGTAGAGTTTCTGTAACTATCTGCTACACTTGTCATAAAGTCCTCAAGGTTCATCTCTACAGCAATCTAGAGTATTTCCTTCTAGTGAGGATTCCTGGTCTCAACTTTATCAGCCTCATTTGACAGAGCAACAAAGTAGCACAGGCAGGTTAACGAACATGCACAATTCATGTAGTTCGTAAGTAGCAAAGTACAGATTCAAAGCCAGGGCACAATTCATATAGTTAGTAAGTAGCAAAGTACAGATTCAAAGCCAGGGCACAATTCATATAGTTAGTAAGTAGCAAAGTACAGATTCAAAGCCAGGGCACAATTCATATAGTTAGTAAGTAGCAAAGTACAGATTCAAAGCCAGGGCGCCAACTCCAAAGCTTGCAGCCTTGCCTTCCGTTGTGTTAGTTGCACTGGCCTCTTCAGCCTGGAGCATCAGCTTCTTCTCCCCATGGAGAATGTGCAGCTTGTTCTGTTCTACTGACTTTCTCTGTCTAGAGCAGTGGTTCTCAACCTTCCTAATGCTTCAACCTCTTAATGCAGTCCTCATGTTGTGGTGACCCCAACCATAACATTATTTTCATTGCTACTTCATAACTGTAATTTTGCTACTGTTATGAATTGTGACATAAATATCTGATATGCAATCCCAAAGGGGTTGCAACTTACTGGTTGAGAACTACTGGTCTAGAATGTTCTTTTGGATTGCTGTACGGTCATTGTTGTCCCCTCACTTAAGTCTACCCAATTGTCTTGTCAAAGTGACCTTCCCTGGCCACTGTCTTCCAAATTGTCCTCCCTCCACACAGACATGTTTTTACTGTTTCAATAGCAACACTTTTTCTGAACTGATCTTTTATGTCTGTTTCTTTAGAAGTATTTACTCTGTCACTGGTGGGTGACTGGGTTGGTAGGTGGATAGTTGGAAGATTAAAGTCCATAGTAAATGCTAGCCAGCTGTGGCCATGAAAAGAAAACTGTAACCAGGAGGACTTAGTAAAAAGTTCTAACACATCCAACCAACCTTGCGTAGTTGCAGGGCCCGCTCTGCCTCCTAATTACAGAAGCAGCAGTTCAGACTCCTCAGACAGTGATGAAAACAGCAGTTCTTTGTCTGAAGAAGGAAATCAAGAGTCTGAAGAAGATGACACTGGTCCAACTGCCAGGTGAGTCACTGAATTCCACAATGAAGCAAGCCACACACCTCTCCCAAGTTGGCTGGACAATGACTAAGAGAGCTCCGCGTTTGCATTTGTGCAGCACAGGGAAAATGTCTTCTCATCTGGCATGTCACACCATCTACATCTTATTCTAATTGCTAGTGGTGGTACCCACTTTAATCCCAGCACTCCAGAGGCTGAGCCAGGTGATCTATGTGAGTTGAAGGCCAGCCAGAGCTACATAGTGAGACCCTGTCTCCAAAAAAGCTAAAAAGGAGCTTATTCTAGTAGTGTATAGATAATGAGATCCTTGAAATGAATGGATGAATTAATGAATTAATAAGATTTGTGTGTATAGTGCTAGGGAATCAAACCTATAGGCTAAGCAAGCTCTCTGCTCCTGAGCTACATCTCCAACCCAATAAGGTTCAATATATTTAAGAGGTTTTATTCCTTAACATTGAAATAACTAAATATTACAAGTTAGCCCATAGAATTTCTTTTTAAAATTGATATATAGTGGATGTTCTGTTTAAATACATGATTCCCTTCTAATCTAGCCTTACCAACCATGGATCAGGTAGAAAAGTTGAACCTTTGTTTTTTACAGGTTAACAAGATTTTTGATGCCCTTTTAAGATTAAGAAAAAGAAAAAGGCAACTTACATTGCTTTTGAGAGGGAGGCTAGAAGCCGAACTCGTGCATTTCACTAAGAAAAGGCTGAAAAGACCTTGCAATTTTTTTTCACTTAGTGGAATCTTGAATTCTCTACAAGATCCAGAATACTTATCTAGTCCTGAACAATAAATAACTGAAGATAAATTTCAGTAAAGATTAAGAACTGTTGTGCTTTAAATTTGGCAGGGTTAATTGATTTTGTTCCAGGGTTTATATATCTATGTAAAGTTAATGTTTTCTTTCAAAATTAGAGCTTTTCTTTTTGTAAAAATTTAACATCTGTTTAACTTAAGTTGTGCTACTGTATTTTTAGGAAACAGAGGCGAAATCAAGATAATGATGATGATGATGATGATGATGATGATGATGGGTTTTTTGGACCAGCCCTCCCTCCTGGATTTAAGAAGCCGGACGACTCTCCTCCAAGGTAATAATGTATAATGCTTCAGCCAATTTTTAATTTTTATTTTTAAATTTAAATTAGATACAATGTTGCTTCACATGTCAATCCCAGTTCCCTCTCCCTTTTCCTCCCCTCTTCCTATGCCCTCCCACCAACCCCCTCCCAGTACCCCCTCATTTACCAGGGAGGATGAGGCCCTCCATGGGGTGTCTATAGTCTGTCATTTCATCCAGGGCAGGGCCTAGACCCTCCCCTAAGAGTCCAGGCTGAGAGTGTATCTCATATTGTTGGATGGGCACCCAAAGTCCATTTGTATGCCCAGGATAAATACTGATCTACTACCCAAGGCCCAATAGATTGCCTAGGCCTCCTCAATGACACCCACATTCAGGGGGTCTTGATCAGTCCCATGCTGGATTCCCAGGCATCAGTCTGGGATTTAAGAGCTGACCCTTGTCAGGTCAGCTATTTCTGGGGGTTAAACCAGCCCAGTCTTAACCCCTTTGCTCATCAGTCCTCCCTCTCTGTCACTGGGTTCCTTGAGTTCAGCTCAATGTTTAGCTGTGGGAGTCTGCCTCTGCTTCCATCAGCCATTGGATGAAGGTTCTGTTCCCCAGACTCTCTGGCCATGGGATTGTAGGATGGCATTCCCTAGATCTATGTCTAAAATCCATATATGAGAGAGTACATACCATGTTTGTCTTTTTGTGACTGGTTACCTCACTCAGGATGGTTTCTTCTAGTGCCATCCGTTTGCCTGCAAATTTCAGGATTCCATTGTTTTTTTCTGCTGAACAGTAGTGCACTGTGTAAATGTATCACATTTTCTCTCTCCACTCTTCAATTGAGGGGCATCTAGATTGCTTCCAAGTTCTGACTATTACAAATAATGCTGCTATGAACATAGTGGAACAGATGTCCTTGTATGAATGTGCATCTTTTGGATATATGCCTAAGAGTAGAATTGCTGGGTCTTGTGGTAGGCTTATTCCCATTTTTTTGAGGAATCTCCATACTGATTTCCAAAGCAGCTGTACAAGTTGGCACTCCCACCAGCAGTGGATGAGTGTTCCCCTTTCTCCACAACCTCTCCATCATAAACTGTTGTTGGTGTTTTTGATTTTAGTCATTCTGATAGGAGTAAGATGATTTGTATTTCCCTAATGGCTAGGGATGTTGAGCACTTTCTCAAGTGCCTCTTAGCCATTTTAGACTCCTCTATTGAGAATTCTCTATTTAGTTCTGTAGCCCACTTTTTAATTGGAGACTTGCTTCTTGAATTCTTTGTAAATTCTGGAGATCAGATGTGGGGTTAGTGAATATCTTTTCCCATTCTGTGGGCTGCCTTTTTGTTTTGTTGACTGTGCCCATTGCCTTACAGAAGCTTCTCAGTTTCAGGAGGTCCCATGTATTTTGTTGACCTCACTGTCTGTGCTACTGTTGTTATGTTCAGGAAGCTGTCTCCTGTACCAATTCATTCAAGGGTACCACCCACTTTCTCTTCTAAGAGGTTCAGTGTGGCTGGATTCATGTTGAGGTCTTTGATCCATTTGGACCTAAGTTTTGTGCATGGTGATAGACATGGATCGATCCTCATTCTTCTACATGCCAGCACCATTTGTTGAAGATACTTTCTTTTTTCTATTGTATATTTTTAGCTTCTTTGTCGAAGATCAGATGATCATACATGTATGGGTTATTATCAGGGTGTTCAATTGGATTCCATTGGTCTACCTGTCTATTTTTGTGCCAATACCAAGCTGTTTTCAGGACTGCAGCTCTATAATAGAGCTTGAAGTCAGGGATGGTGATGCCTCCAGATATTACTTTGTTGAATTCAGCCAGTTTTTTTAAAAGTTCATAATGCTCTATAGTTTTATAGAGAGACTGACTCATGATAGCCATCCTTTTAGTTTTGAATGAGTTTATTAAGTATATAGCAAGTGAGAGTAGAACCAGCATCTAGACAGTAGAGTGTCAACAGACTGACACACAGCATCCAGCAGGAGTGGCTGGAGAAGCACTTGGGACAGCGCTCAGTGAGAGCCCCTGCTGGAAAGAGGAACCAGGCAGCGTGTCTCCTCCTAGGTGAAACTTCCCGTTAGCCATCCCCACAACACGCACTTTATATCATGGGAAACAGCAGCAGAGGCTCCTGTTCTGGGACAATTCACCCTGAAGCTGTATTCAAGAACCCATCTACTCTCCTTCTGGTCACAAAGTCATGGCAATTGGGGAGGGGGATGTTTTCTGTTCTCCTTTCCCTGTCTCACAGGGTGCAGGCTAGCCTGTCCCAGGACAAGGGATCCTGGAGGACACTATAAGACAAACATGCTTGGGTCAGAAATGGGGCCCACCTCTAGAACCACTTCTCAGGGAGCTTAAACAGCACATGACAAATTACTAATACAATGCATATTACAAGTGGAATGTGATTGGCACAATGGGCACCTTCTGCTTCATCTGCATGCCACAGAGGACCAGCTGCTTCTTCTGTACTTCTGCATCACTGCTGGGTTATTAGCAAGGACTATGTGTTGGTTTGTACTGCTGCAGTGCATTGCCACTGACTGCTGGCAGTGTTGTATGTACCTGCTGTAGCTGTCCTTAGAAGAACATACTTTCTGCTTAAGTAGTTCTGACTGTAATTATGAGACCCAATGGAATTTTTCAGTAGAAAGCAATTATCAAAACAGCAGAAGTCAAAATACAAGATACCCTCATGAGTACAGACAGGTAAAAAAGATTGAGCATTTTTGCTTTAGTATATGGTTGATGATTCAGCAGATAAAGGCTCTTGTCCTACAGCCTGAGAACTGGAGTGCAGTCCCTTGTTCCACTGGCCTCCATATGCATCCTGTGGCACACACATGCCCATAAATGAAAATACTTTCTCTAAAAATGAAATAGAAACCTATCAATACTAGTGTAACAAAAAGTTCTTATTTTCAACATTTGTTATTGGCTAGCTTTCTTATGATTGTGAACTTTTATTCTAAAATTTAGAATAAACTAAAAAGCATTTTAAAGTTAAGAGAGAATAATAATGGTGTATTTTATTTTCAGGCCTATGATTGGTCCTGCATTGCCACCTGGTTTCATTAAGTCTTCACAAAAAAGTGACAAAGGCAGAGAGGTTCCAGGACAAGTATCATCATCCTTCAACTCAGAGGTTAGGAAATTTTTCATTTGAAGAATAAAATGTATAACAAACTCAGAACCTGAATGGTGTCTGTAATCATGTGACTCACATGAAATATGATACTCTAAATAGACTCTCTGAACACATTGTCAGCTCACTGTGAGAAGAGAAAGAACCTCCACTGCCAACTGAATGTGAGAATTGAACACCCAGAGATGAAATAAAAGCTGTTCTCACACCTGACAACTTAGCAAAACAAGATTGCCAGGGATTATGATTTGTGCTATATTTGAAGGGTGGTATTTTACTACTTTCCACTTCCTGTCTTAACAAGTTTCCCTCCAAAACAGAAGATTTTAGCTTTGGAGGAAACTGCTGCACAAGAGAGATCCTCTGCCTAGGGAATGAGGTCCTTTGCCTAGGGAATGGTGCCACCCATGGCGTGTGGCTCCTCATGGCCACAGGCCAACTTGATATTATCAGTTCCTCACTGAGGCTCTTCCCAGGTGATTCAGCATCATGTCAGGTTGACATGGCAATCAGTGCTAACAATCACAAGACATCTGCCCTGTGCTCTAAAAGTGAAGGAAGTGCGTATGAGACACTTGGTAAGAGGTCTAGAAGCACTGTCTACCAGGGACCCCACAGCCACCACACTTGCCTAGGCTACAGAAAGGGCAACAGCAACCAGAGAACAGAAAACCCATCCAACAAAGACAAGGCCTAATGTGGATACCAAGAAGTACCTCAAACATAATAATTCCAGATGCCTAGATATTGGTATAAAAGCACAAACATGAGCAGCCAAGACAATATGCTTCTACCAGCAGCCAGTAATGCTCTTGCAGTAGGCCCTGGAAAATGCACTATAGCTGAAAGCTTAAGGCAGGGCCCTTATGGATATGGTCAAGGACCTTAGAGAGAGTATAAATAAATACCTCAATGAAGTCTGTGAAAATACAAACAGCTGAATAAAATCCTGAAAATAATTCAAGTCTGAAAGTAGAGCTTAACAAAGAAATAGAACCACTACAAAGAAAACCCAAACTGAAATAAAACTGGAAATGAAAAATGTAGGATGTGAAACAAAAACCTCAGAGGTAAGCCTCACCAACAGAATGCAAGACATGGAAAAGGAGATCTCAGGGGCTGGAGACAAGGTAGAAGTGGATAGCTCAGTCGAAGAAATACTAAATCTAAAACAAAAGGGAACAGGCCGGGCGTTGGTGGTGCACACCTTTAATCCCAGCACTCTGGAGGCAGAGGCAGGCGGATCTCTGTGAGTTCGAGGCCAGCCTGGTCTACAGAGTGAGTTCCAGGATAGCTTCCAAAACAATACAGAGAAACCCTGTCTCGAAAAAACCAAAACCAAAACCAAACGGGAACAAGCGGTATCCAGTTGTCTACACTATTTTGTTGATGCATCTTTATCAGTGTTTAGGAGGTGTTAATACAGTACTTGTTTCATAAAAGCTGATAGTACTGCCCTGATTCACTTGCCATATCCCAAAGAGCTGTTCATGTACAGAGAAGACCTCTGCTTAATAAATACCAGGAACACTTTGTTGAAAAGAATTCTAAGGTCAGATCTCTGTGCATCAAGAAGAGAGTTGAAATTCTGGAAATGTGACTCAGTGGTAGAGTCCTTGCCTACCATGTACACAGCCTGGGTTCCTACCAGCAACATAATGGGGTTGGGGTATGAATGGGAATAATATAATAAGATCTACAATGATATAGCAAGAGAAATGGGACAGTCCACATGCTGCGGAGCCGTCATCTTCAAGGGAGCCAAGGGAAAGCTCACTGTTAAGTGATGGGCTACCAATATACTTGTTTGTTTTATTGTTTATGTATAATCCATTTCAGTTAAATTCCAAGTGGTTTAAGATCGTTGTCTGTAACCTATTGGCCTCTTCTTATAAAGATACTGTCTTGTTTTAAAAGGAAGCAGAGAGCAGCGAAGATGAGGATATTTTTGGACCAATGCCTGCAAAAGGACCAGTTAACTATAGCGTAACAACGGAGTTTGAAAAAAGGGCCCAGAGAATGAAGGAAAAATTAACCAAAGGAGATGATGTAAGTTTGGAAAGAGTTTTTGTTTTTGTTTTTTACTAATTTATTTGATTGTGTGAGTGTTTTTTGAGGGTATGTATGCATGTGTACCACATATGCCTGGTGTGGGTGCTAAGAACTGAACCTGCATCCTCTACAAAAGCAGCAACTGCTCTTAACCTCTGAGCCAACTCTCTACCCCTAGGAAATAGCATAGAATGTGTATATATAGGTAGGTGTGTGTGTGTGTGTGTGTGTGTGGTTTTTTTCTTTTGTTTTGAGACAGAGTCTCACTTTGTAGCCTGGCTAGCCTAGAACTCACTATGTAGCCTTGAACACATGCTTGCCTCCGTCTCCGCAGAGCTGGAACTAAAGGTGTGTGCCACCATGCACAGACACTGCTTTGTTTTCAGCTTTGTTTCTCATACAGGATTCATCTAAACCAATCACAAGAGAGTCGTGGATGACTGAGCTTCCTCCAGAAATGAAAGACTTTGGTCTTGGGCCAAGAACCTTTAAGAGAAGAGCAGATGACAAATCCGGGGACCGATCCGTCTGGACAGACACCCCAGCTGACCGGGAAAGGAAAGCTAAGGTAACTGGGGATTTTTTTTCTTGTTTTTTGTTCATGTATTCTCTCTAGTTTGGCTTGAACTTGCAAAGATACAAGATGAAATTATTTAAGGGTACTGATGATGTAGGGTTTTAGGACAGTTGTGCCTAACCCTGTTGTACCCAAGTTGCGAAGATCCCCAGAGACCACCAGGGAGACAGACCCACCAAACTGCAAAAGCAAGGTTTTAATTGTTTATCCAAACATGACAGGGACCCCGTCTGACTAGCTGGCGCAGCAGCCTCCAGAGGGAGCAAAGTTCCCTGTCTACTGCTAGGTTTTAAAGACAAAAGTTTTACAGGATTACATCAGTAGGTACGGGTTGGTTTCTGAGTGGTTGACATTTAGGAACAATTAAGAGAATTTCTCAAAGTCATATTTTGGCATGAAATACCTGTGTACCAATGATTCTCATTGGTCAGTGCTCAGAGGGAACATTCTGTGGTTTCTATGGCTTTGTCTTGTTACTTGCAGATGGCCTGTTGTACAGATATCAGTAGTTTTCAGTATCCTGAAGACTACAGGAGAGGTTTTGATTTCCCCTGGAGTTTCTTTTGTAGCCAAACAGTTCCCAGGAACCAAGCATGGGGGGAGGGGAGATCTGGAGTTTTTTTGTTTTCAGTTTAGTCCTAGGCTCCAGGAGGCCAGGGGATCTGGAGTTTCTTTGTGTCTTGTGCTGAGTCAGAGGCCCACATGTTTTTTCTGTAGCCTGTCATGGCTGCCAAAGCTGGGGGCTGAGTGAGGGTCTGAGCCCTTTATTTCTAAATTACTAGAAGTGAAGCCTTTGAGTTCAGTTTACCCCTTTCAGGCTCCATGACTTGGGATGGTGGCTCTGAACTCACTGTCTCACACTAGTGAGGATTGAAAACACCAATACTGGTGGCATTATGTGAAGTGGAAGCAAGTTTTAGTCAGGAGATTTACAGAGATGTGAGAAATTGAGAAAAGTATGGAATTAAAGAAAATTGGAACTGAGAGTGGTAGGGATTTCCAAGAACTTCCTTGTCCCAGGTTTTCATAGGTCTGTGGCAAAGACTAGAGAAGGGCTGAGTAATTGCTGTGAGGCTGGTTAGTTCTCTGGGCTATCATGAAGGTAATGGATAGCCCACATGAACTGTGCATGTTCCCTGGCCCACTGAGAGATGGGCTGTGTATGTGCTGCCCACCTAGCTAGGGATAGTCAAAGCCTCCCCTTGTCCCTCTCTGACTTGAGCTTTATTAGACATTGACCTGGACTGTCACTAGCTGTTGTTTCTCACTCTGTCTTTGCAAGTGTTTTAGGTTGTACTAGGCTTTTTCTTTGGGGCCACAAACCATCTTCCAAATCATGACACGGAGACCTCTTATGAATGCTCGGCCTTGATTACACTTGTTTCTTGCTAGTTCTTATAACTTAACCTGTTTGATTCATCTACATTTTGCCGCAGTGCTTTTTACTCTTCTTTACTTCTGCATATCTTACATATACCTTACTTTCACTGCTTCTCATGTCATGGCTGACTAGCGGCTGCCTGGCTTGTGTGTGTGTGTGTGTGTGTGTGTGTGTGTGTGTGTGTATGTGTGTGTGTGTGTGTGTGTGTGTGTGTGTGTGTGTGTGTGTCTTTGCTTGTTTGTTTCTGTTGTGGTATATCCTCTCTTTGACTTTGTGTCATGTGCCTTTGCTGTTCTTGCTTCTGTTAATTCCAGTTTGTTGGCAGGTTTCTTGGGTTTTTCTGCATAGACACTCATCCCACCATTGGATGCTGACAATGTCCCTTTCTTTCTTTCTCTCTTCCTTTCTTTCTTCCTTCCTTCCTTCCTTCCTTCTTTCTTTCTTTCTTTTTTGTCAATATATATACACTTTTAAAATTTCCAAAAGCATACAGTGGAAGATTTCTTATGTGTTACGTTTCCACGTTTTGTCATTGTTAGTCCACACTCACCCTGAGTCTCTTTCAGTTGGGTTTGGTTTGGATCCCATTGTCTTCTTTGTCAGGGAAATCACAGCTCTTGCACCATCTTGTCCCTCCTCAGGTATGCAGATATTTCTAACTGGGAGGAACTCAACCAGCCTGGCTTTAGTTCAGTTTCTTGTCATTTAATCAAAATGATATTAATAGTATTCTTTTTCATTATATTTCAAGTGATGCTATTATGTTCTTTCTTTAGGAAATACAAGAAACAAGGAAGTCACTCAGTAAGAAAGATGAAGAAAACATATTGTCAGGAAGGGATAAGAGACTGGCTGAGCAAGTGTCCTCATACAACGTGAGTAAAAAATAAAGTATAATCTCTTCCTCTTGTCCATCTTCCTCTCTTTTCTACTTTTTTGTGCTGAGTTTTTCCTGCGTCACCCAGGCTGCTCTCTGCCTTTGCTCCAGAGTTTGCTGGTCTCATATTTTTCTGTCTTTTAGGTTCTTTGTTTTGTTTGGTTTTGGTTTTGATTTTTCAAGGCAGGGTTTCTCTCTGTAGCCCTGACTGTCCTGGAATTTGCTATGTAGACCAGGCTGGCCTCAAACTCATAGCGAGCCACCTGCCTCTGCCTCCCAAGTGCTGGGACTAAAGGCGTGCGCCACCACCTGGCACAGTTCTTCTTCTTCTTCTTCTTCTTCTTCTTCTTCTTCTTCTTCTTCTTCTTCTTCTTCTTCTTCTTCTTCTTCTTCTCCTCCTCCTCCTCCTGCTCCTCCTCCTCTTCCTCCTTCTTCTCCTCCTTCCCCTCCTCGTTCCTCTCTCTCTCTGTTTCTCTGTCTCTCATATTCACATATATATATATATGCACATACATGGAAACAATTGTGTTCCAGACAGCTAAATTTGCAAATCCATAAAAAGGAAGGTATGTTTTAACTGCCACATTCACTCTGAAGCCCCTTCATGTCCTTCAGCATCCCAGTGAAGTATATGGTCTGCTTAGTTAACCTAAGTGACGTACACACCACCTAACTGGAATCACATGGTGGTTGCCTATGACACTAAACTTGTGAGGCACATTTTCTGACGGGTCAGCATCCTCATCCGGAGGGCAGTTGTTTGAGCAACCTCTGGACCATACTAAATCATACTGTGCTGCCAAAGCTGAGTCCATGGCCAGCTCAGGTGGAGTGAGAGTAGGCATGGCAACAAACTCCCACTTAGGATCTCCAATGAGCTTTCTGGCAAGCCAGAGAAAAACTTTTCAAAATTGTAACTACTTTTGGCAGAAATGTCATTGTACTGAAAATTCTTTTGCCTTCATTTTCCCATCTTTTTTTTGTTTGTTTGTTTTTTGTTTTTGTTTTTACGAGACAGGGTTTCTCTGTATTGTTTCGGAGGCTATCGGTCCAGCCCGGCCTCGAACTCACAGAGATCCGCCTGCCTCTGCCTCCCGAGTGCTGGGATTAAAGGCGTGCGCCACCACCGCCCGGCCCATTTTCCCATCTTAATATCCACTTTGTTGCCATACAATGCAATGGGGATGTTTTCACACACATACAGTGTGCACCAGTTAGGTGCATTCTTGTAACTTTTGATGTTAAATCAAACTTTATAATAGCACACTGATTTTGGGGTATAGTCGCTATTGCAATGGCCTCCAGATTTCTCCTGGGCAGCTACGTCCTACACCTTGAACTGATGGGTCCTCTCTTGGTATAGAACACAGGCGGGTGCAGCTCCATGCCCAGGGTGTCTACATACTTCTCGAGTGGTTCTTTCTGCTGTACTGGGACTTGACTCCTGAACCTGCTGGCTTATGTAAATGCTTCAGATGGGCCAAGCCCTGATAGAATAATAGAAATGGGTTAATTTAAGTTGTAAGAGCTAATTAATAATAAGCCTGAGCTATCAACTGAACATGTATAAGACTATGTCGGTTATTTAATAACTGACAGGCAGGAAAGTAACATCCTCCTACAGGTGTAGTGGAGTACTCCTGCAATGCCAGCATTTGGATAGTCAGGAGTTCAGGATCAGCCTCAGCTACTCAGCAAGCAAGTTCGAGGCTAGCTTGGGCTACCTGAGACCCTGTCTCTTCATAACCATATAGGAAAGTCACCTTTACAGATGCTTTATAGGACAGATCAGTTTTAAGAAAGACTAAATGTTCTAGTTAAGACTTTAAAAAAAAAAAGAGAGAGAGAATAATGAGGGGCTGAAGAGCTGGCCTAGCAGCTAAGAGTGCTTAGTGCTTTTGCAGAGAACCCGAATTCAGTTTCCAGCACCTCCATAATGTCTCACGACACCTGTAACTCCAGTTCCAGAACTACAATGCCCTCTTCTGGCCCCTTTGGACTCTTGTACACATATGATACACAGAAACCCATGCAGGATCACACACATACACATGTATTCTTTTAATCTTTGAAAAAAAACAACTAAATGATAGTCATTGTGAATAACCTTAAAATGGCTCCTGCTTTACCGGTCTTGAATGCCATCTGTGCCCCGGATATGTGTACCTCCTCCCAGCTTTGAGGCGGCTGCTCTGCCGTCTCCTCCATCCCTCCCTGGCCCTTCCATCCCAGGCTAGTCTCCTCAGAGGTCCACAGCAAATCCCTAGTCTACTACACCGTTGTCTCCGCACAGACCTTGTCTGAAAATGGTATCTAGTTAGACCTAATGTGAGCATCCACCGAAGCTAAGAGGAGAAGGGAAGGTTAGGGAAGAGAGACGAGCAGACCGTGGTGAAACAAACGTCCTTCAGCTCCGGCCATGCGCCCGCCACACAGGCCTAGAATTAGGCCACCTCTGTGCCCCCTACTTCATATTTCACTTCTGCTTTGCCTTCTGTCAGTGCCTTCACCTCTTTCTACCCGGATGGCTTGAGGGACCAGTTCCTCTGGGAAGTGGAATTAAATTGCTCATTCTTTCACACCCCTGTTCCGTAAGTTCCTGTTAAGGCTTAAGTAACCATAGCGACTGCGCTTCCTTCCTTACTCTTTCTCTACTTGAAGCTTGTAGATGTCTTCATCCCTTCTGACTTTGTACATTTTCTTCATAGATGCTGTCTTGGATCCAGGACTTGCAAACATCTCTCATTCACATGCACTGGTCCAGTCTGCTTTGTGGTGCAGACTGTGTATAACCTACATGCACCAAGGTTTTTTATCTCTGTCCTACTTTCCCTAGGAATCAAGAAGATCAGAGTCCCTCATGGACATTCATCACAAAAAGTTAAAGAATAAGGCTGCCGAAGACAAAAACAAGCACCAAGAGAGGATACCATTCGACCGTGATAAAGATCTCAAGGTTAATTGGTTTGATGAGGCTCAGAAAAAAGCTCTAATAAAGAAGTCCCGAGAACTGAATACCCGGTTTTCACATGGCAAAGGCAACATGTTTTTATAAGTGAGTGTGCTTCAGGGAGGTACACTGGTGCTGAGCACTGGGAACCCTCAGAATATCCCTTTGTCTATGGTAATTATGTGCACAAATACTTCTCCTTTTGTAATAAAGTAGATTCAGAGTCTACATTTTTATAAATTGTAACTGTTGAAAAGTTGGAGGTAAAATGCATTTAACTGGAAAAAATAGCTTTGTCTTCACAATAGCCTAAAAGGACATTCTGTTAGAAAAGCTAAGGGTTCCAGTGAAGAGAAATGGTACTTCGCAGGGTGTGGCATACAACTTCAGGGGTCGTGTGCACCATTAGAGACAAAAGAAAGGTTTGCTAGTATTGTGTGTGCGAGTGTGTGTGTGTGTGTGTTTGTTTTTGTTTTTTTTTTTTTGAGACAGGGTCTTACTGTGTAGTCTTGGCTGGCCTGGAACTCACTATGTATACCAGCAGGCTGGCCTCAAACTCACAGAGGTCCACCTGCCCCTGCCTCCCAAGCACTGGGATTAAAGACGTGTGCTACCAGGCCCTGTTCATTGAGCAAGATCACAACTAGAAGAGTCATTGCTTCAGAAGACCTCTCTGTTTTTACAGTTAGCACACCATTTATCTGATGAGCGTTTGTGGTGTCAGTTAAGGAACTGTGTGGGAACTGAGGGTACTTCTGAAGTCCCTTGTGATTGTAGCAGTATGGAATGGACTAAATATTCAGGTGTGATTTTAAAGGACAATATGAACTTTAGAGTGTTTTCCAGCTTACTGGATTGTTACCTCAGAGTGCGATGTCTGTCTGTCCACCATAATTTGTTAGAGAATGATCTTTAAAAACATGCACATTTGCCCTGTTCTGTGTATCCTTTAAACTAAAACGGGAATAGACAATCAGTGTTTCTTGTATGGAATAGAGTATTTTGAGTGTTCTTGGCTTTTCGTCATATAATTATTTTAAGAGTCCATTCCCACAACACTCCAGTCCCCAGTGTTTTTTGATGTTTTACAAGTTTCTTCTTGGTTCTGTGTGGGACTGTACACTGACTCTATACCATAGCCTGGACCTTTTCCTCAAATATATTTAACCTGCCCCGGAGTCAGTGTGTCCTGAAATCCATGAATTTTCAATTGCTTGGTTTACCCTCCAAACATCACCCAGTGAATGCACACCTGTGTGAAAATGTAGAGCATAGAGTTTTGTTCTTCCTACCCTGCGTGTTTCATGCCCAGGAGTTTTTATTAGCTGTCTGGTAAGTGGTTGTTTTTATTGGTTTTAAGTAAAGAAGGCTGTTGGGATTATCTCATGTTAAGGAAATATTCTTGTGATTTTTTTTTTAAACTCAAGTAAATATTTGTAAAGGAGGCAATCTGAAGGACATTATACACATCTGTTGTCATCCATGTAAAGTCTAGGACTGCTGTCTTCATGGTCTGACCCAAACTGTCTGCATCTTGGAGCTTCACATGGGATAGTCTGATTCATATATGTACATAACACTTTGTAGCCGGTTTACTGGAATGTTAATCCTGAATAGCTTTTTAAATTAACCCAATCATTCCTAAAAAGAGGAAATGTTACTCATGACCCCACTAGTGGGGGTGATATATGTGTCAGTGCTTTAATGGATGCTTCTTAAGCTGTGAAACAAAAGCTCCCAAACAGGGAGATAAAACCTAAATTCCAATTCCATGTATTTCTTGCAGGGTTTCTTGTTCTGCTAACTCTGTACTCTAGTTCTAATGAAACATAGAGTTTTAATGGAAAAACATGCTGATTCCTGATTCATGTAATCTTTATAAAAACTGGGCAAACTGTTCAGATTACAATATAAAGTATTTCTTAATAGTGTCACATTTTTATACTGGTGTAACAGTCTATCCAAGGGCTGTTGCTTTTAAAAACCTGAGTTACTCTGGGTGAATTGAAGAGGCTTATTGTCTACATAGAACTGGACAGACCTACCCTTTGACTAAAGTGAGTGATAGTTTCTACACAGAAAACTTTATACAAGAGTATTGGTTTTGGCTAGGCATGATGGCATACACCTTGAATCCCAGCAGAGGCAGGCAGAGTTCTGCAAACTCAAGACCAGCCTGGTCTACAGAGTGAGTTCCAGTACAGCCAGGGCTATGGAGAGAGACCCTGTCTCAGAAATCCAAGAAAAAGGAGTATTTTGTCCATTTCATTTTGTGATTTTTCCCCCCAATGAGAGGGAAAAAATGTTTTTTAGCTATGACAAAACGTAACATATTTTGTGAAATTTGGTACTTTTTAAATTTTAAATACTAAAAATAAATAAATAAATCTTTTTAAAAGGAGATAGTGGTCTGGAGAGATGGCTCTTCAGATTACCTGAGTTCAGTTCCCAGCACCCACACCTGGTGATCTACAGCCCCTGTAACTCCAGCTCCAAGGGATCTGACTCCCTCTATGGACCTCCATGGTTACCTATGCTCATGTACACAAATCCACACACAGACACATTCTTTTAAAAATAAAAATAAATCTTAAAAGTAAGACTAGTCCTCTCTAGACGCTCACTGCCATTGCTCTTTCAGTGGAAGGGGTTGGGAATATTTATGACGTGCTTACATTTCCTATGATCTCAGGATAAGGGACAGGCCACCAGATGGACTGCCTCTCAGGTACCCTGGAACCAGTGCTCTTCTCTGTCACCCCATGATAGTTGCAACACAGTGTAAGCCATTACTAGAGCAATTCAGCCACATGAAGACACAAATCCCAATTGAATATTGACAATAAAAAAAAATCATGTAGCTTTGAGTGTATTACAGAAAGGTTTTCCACATGTCATCCTTTCTCCTCTAAACTGCAGGCCTGTTTAGACCCACTCTCCTGGCCATTGTCAGTTTCTAGCCAGAGCATCCTATGTTTTGGTCAAGTTTTATAGGACTCTGGTGTCCTTTGCAGCGCAAAGATGAAGAAAAGACTAACACCAGGTGCAAGGAGAGGACCCTGCTGTCTCGCCACTGGCGGTGGCCTTCCAGTTAGTGAACTGGGAGACTTTATCCAGCTCTCCAGCGTCTCGGCTGGGGCAGATGACAAGTCTCATACAGTAGCCACATTGCTGGTGAGCAGATGGTGGAGTCGTTGGTTTGGGTAGTGGGGAAAGAGAGTGAAGGAGAGTGGTGCAACCCAAGGTGAGACTTTCAGATCAGCCTCAGGACAGGAAACTGAACCCTGCTCGGGGGTGGAAGTACACAGTCTGCAGAGAGTTTTTCATGTTTAGGTGTAGCAACGTTTTCATCACTCTAATATTTAGGTATTCATTGTCAAGTGTGAGATGTGCGTGAGGCTGAGCCTTACATGTTTCAGAGTTACAGAAATTATTCGATGTTACTTTTCGGTTCTTCCGTAGGCTAGGAATGTTGATGCTGTTGGAAGTGCATGATGGGTGGGGGTGTAGCTCTTGAACTCGAGGCCGTCATCCACTTGTACTGTTCCATGGTATTACAAATATTTCTAGAAAAGCCTCTCCAGTGAATTAGACCTATGAGGAAGAATTGATGTTGAGGGAAGTGGCTCCTGAAGAGAAACTCATGCAGCACCAATGGTTTCCTTGCCTTCTGATGTCATCCCGAGGCTCCAGACGGCAGTAATGGAGCCGTATGCTACTGTGGAAGAGCTTTTTGTTTGGTTGGTTTTTTTCACAGCTTCAAAACAAAACAAAACCTTGTTTAACAGGGTTAACAGCACCCACCACAACTGAAACACTGTTTAACTATGACCATGGTGTGTACAAGGTTAAAAAACTAACCTTTTTGTTTGTTAACAGCACCCACCACAACTGAAACACTGTTTAACTATGGCCATGGTGTGTACAAGGTTAAAAAACTAACCTTTTTGTTTGGAGGGTTACAGTTACCTGATTTTAGAAAAGAATTCTGAAGTATAATTTTATACATGTATGAATAAATTATTCTCTATATCTGAGAAGTTGTAGTCTCCCTTTTTCTTCCCTTGTGTTTTAATATTCTTAGCTTTCCTGAAGCAGGCCGAGATCTGGTCAGCCAGTTGTGGGCTATTATGAAGAGGGGGGAAAAAGAAAGAAAACTGGGGGGGGGGGTGAAGATCCTGGAGGCACACATCTGCAATCCTACTATTCAGAAGACTAAGGCAGGAGAATCACAAATGCAAGGCCTGCTTGGACTGCATTGTGAGTTCAAATCCGGAGAGATGGGAACGGAAGTGTCATTGAATTCAGGATAACCAGCTACACAGGCAAAAACGTGCTGTTTCTAGGGCTTCCGTCTCGCCTTTGATTCCCACCAGGGTTCTAATGAGAATTCCAATATTTCTCATGGCATATCGTCAACCCTGAGTTCATCCCAGATTTGCAATGTCTGTGTCTAACATTGTGACTCCCCTTCTCATTGGTAACTGCTAACCTAGGTCTCAGAACCTCAGAACCTTTTTTTTGTTGTTGTTGTTTTGTTTTGTTTTGTTTTTTCAAGACAGGGTTTCTCTGTATTGTTTTGGAGGCTGTCCTGGAACTTGCTCTGTAGACCAGGCTGGCCTCAAACTCACAGAGACCCGCCTGCCTCTGCCTCCCGAGTGCTGGGATTAAAGGCGTGAGCCACCAATGCCCGGCTGGTCTCAGAACCTTTGTGTAGAACAGCTGCCAAGGAGAAGCAGGCACACTCGGGCATACATTAGCTATAGGGCTGGGGTTGGTGTTGTCCAATGAGATGGACTATCCCCTATTTTGAGGGGTGGGAGTTCGAGACAGGGTTTCTCTGTGTAGACCAGGCTGGCCTAGAAATCACAGAGATCCTCCTGCCTATGCCTCCTGAGTGCTGGGATTAAAGGCGTGTGCCGCCACCAACCAGCTGAGATGAACTGTTTCTAAATAGCTTGCTTGTTCTGCCTTCATCCTAGAACATCAAAAAGTACATTTACCACAAACAAGGTAGATGAGGCCACTGCAGTTTATTTACTATACAATCTGCTGTCAGTTATATATCACGATACAATTCAAAATGATATATTTAGACTTTCCCTCCACAAATAAGAAAAAATGAAAGAAAAAAAAAAGGATTTCCAAGTCTAACCCAACCAACAGCCAACCCCTCCCCCACAACTCCCTACCCCAACCTGGATAGAGGTTAGTCACAATAGGAAAACAGACTGGACCTCACTCCTTCAAGCCTGCCTCAGCTAGCTGCCATCATAGGTCAGAGTGTCTGGACAGAGTGTCCTTGGGTTCCCTCAGGGCTATGTGCATTTCTGCCTCTGAACACAGGATCACACAGAGGAAATGGAGATCATAGTTATCAAAACAATGGCATATATATATATATATTTATATCAAGCAAAATTTGGAGGAGGAGAAAGAGAAAGCTACCATTGGCAAAAGGCCTAACATGGAGTAGTTAGACATGGCTGTTAAGTACATTTGAGTAGAGGTCAGTTTTAATTAACAGTTGTGTATCCTTAGCAATTAAATTGTTGCCATGGTGCTTCCAGCCTCTCACACAGAGCAATTAGATCATGTGTAAATGTATGGTTCCAGAGACAATAAGAAATGGGGCTTTTTTCCTGCACAGGAAACTGTTCCGAAGTGGACTTTGTTTATAAGCCCCAATGTGGGCAATAACTATAGCTAATGATACAAATTATGCTCATTCTAGAAGAGCTCTGAGTTCTCTGTTAGAACACAGGAGAAGGTTCTGGGGCCATGTCAATCAAGTAGTAATTAGCTACAGCCCCAAACCTAGCAGAATGTTGAGCAGAAGAGGAGAAACACAAGGGGAAGTGTCCTATAGTTGGACAGTTGAAGCCTCTACCTGGAACACTGTTTTCTGCTCTGGACAAATGTCTAGGACAGAAAACTACGTCAGTTCCTGTTGACATGTATTTATTGAGCCTACACAATGTGCAAAACACTGATCTGAGAATACAAAAATGAATAGGATAGGATCTTTAACTATAGAACCCCGTGGGGCAGACAATATGCAGAAGCAGCCAGAATGCTGTGTGGTGAGAGGCACGTTGTGTACTGACCGTGGTCACCCCCTAGGTGCCAGCTGAGAAAAGGGCTGCAGTGGATCCCAGTGGGTGCTGTTGGTCGGGGAGTGGAAGAGACCAGCGAGAAAGGAAGAGCCCCTGCAGGGGGACAGCCTGCAGAGCTGAGAGGCAGCAGACCACCTACAGTCAGCAGGGACGCAGAGGAGCCAGCCTGGAATAGGAAAAGGAAGGCAGGGAGGCTGGCCCTGTAAGTAAAGCGCCTGTTAGTTAAGCTTTCAAACCTGAGTTTGGAATGCAGAGATACACATCTATAACCCAGTCCTGGGAGTAAGATGGAAACTGGAAGATCCTAGAGCAATGGTTCTCAATCTGTGCGTCATGACCACTTTGGGGGTCACACATCAGCTATGCTGCATATCAGCTATGTATTTTACGATTCATAACACTATAAAAATTACAGTTATGAAGTAGCAACAAAATAATTTTATGGTTGGGGGCCACCACAACACAAGGGACTGTATTAAAGGGTCACAGCATTTGGAAAGTTGAGAACCACTGCTATGAGGCTTTGTGGGTAGCCAGCCAGCAAATCGTGAGCTCTAGGCTTAGCGAGAGACCCTGTCTTAAAAAACGTAAGATTGGAGCTGGATAGATGGCTCAGCAATTAAGAGCACTTGCTGTTTTTACAGAGTACTTGGGTCTGGTTCCCAGCAACAAAATCAGGCAGCTCACAACCACCTGTAACTCTAACTCCTGGGGTTCTGACACCCTCTTCTGGTGACTGCACATACATAATGCCCAGACGTGCACTGCCACATACACATAAAAGAAGGTGTATCGATAGAAGACACCCAGCATTGACCTCTGGCACACACAACATCTGTAACTAGAAATCAGGAGTCAAGGTTATTAGCAATGGTAAGTCTATAGATATGGGGCCATAAAGTTAAGAAGTATTTCTGACATATAAGTAGAAATTCTGTAACCTGGAGTGTTGTGAAACTCTTGTCAAATGCGTGGATAAATGATTCTCAGAAAAACACATTAGCCAGAGCCATCCAGAAGGCTCAGCGGGTGCTTGCCATCAAGTCTGTCCATCTGAGCTCAGTCCTGGAACCCAGATGTTATACAGGGAAAAAAAGACCTGAAAAATGGAAAGCACACATTTCCTTGCTCAGATAGGCAGGCCAATTTGCTCCTTGAGCCTGTCACAAATTGCTGACCCCATCTCCTCCTCAGCTGTCCTTCATGTTTGCTGTTTTCCCTCGGCATCTACAAATGCTCAAGTCTCTCCCATTTAAAAACCAAACGGCAGCAACAGTGAACCTCCTTCAAGAACAAGGTCAAGACAGAATTAAAGCTCACCTGTCTCGGGAAGTTCCCAGACAGACGCAAGTACAAGGGCCGTGTTTCTAATCTGTGAGAGAAGTCGGTCACTACATATAGGGTGTCAACACCACTGGGTAGACAGGTGGGGGGAAAAGTTGATATCCATCTTGCAAAGTAAATAAAACAAAATCCCAGGTGGATTAAATATTCTTAGTGTAAAAAGCGAAGCCACAAGAGTTCTGGAAGGAAAAAAATGAGATAATTCTTTTTCATTTGATGTACCTATACTTTATATAAAATGAGGTGGCTTTGTTGTCATGGAGTTACAAGGATTTTTCTAAGAATAGCATAATCTCCAGAATATCTAAATTTAAATGATAAACTGGTCCACATTCAAGCAGAAGAAATCAACATAGAAATATGATCAAGAGATAGGTGAATATTTACTACTCATAGCACAGACAAAAAGCTCAATTCCCTTTGAATTTGAATAAAATTATGAAAAATCATAAGCAAATTCAACCAGAACAAAATTACCTACTCAATAGATGACTGGGAAAAGAATATGAACACAAAATTCGCAGAAACAAAAGAATTCTTAAAAATATGAGAACAACTGTACTCATAAAGAAGAGTGCAGATGAAATACAATTTGGAGCCCTGAGTGATGGCACACACCTGTGACTCCAGCATGCAGGAAGAGGAGGCAGGAGGATCACCCCAAATTTGAAGATAGCCTGATCTGCATCGTAGGTTCCAGGTCAGCCAGGGCTGCACAGCCAGACCCCATCTCAACATAATAGTAAAATAACAATAACAGCAACAGGACTCTGGACCCTGCTCCTAGAGAGACAGATGCAGCAAGCAAGGTGCTTCTGTAACAGCCTTGTCCTCTGCCCTGGTCAGACCCTGCCTTCCTTCCTGCTCCAGGCAGCCTCCAAACCAGTGGTTTTCTCTGAGCGCCAACACCTTATGTTGCAGAATTCTGATGGAGAAATATTTGCAGTTGGTGTAGAAATTGCAAAACAAGCAGTGACCACTGAGATCCTGTTGGAAGATCCGAGAAGGTTAAAGGAACGGTGGCTCCAGGGTGTGCTGCTCACTGGGGTGGCCCTCCTGACTCCTCCCAAGGACAGTGAGAACAAAGGAGAGCAAACGGACCTGGGCAAAGGACTCAAAGCTGACCAAGGACACTTTCCCAACTTGTTCCCACTGCAAATGTAGGGTGGTGTCTGGAGTCACAGGACCAGTCTGGAGCCCCCTTTATCCCAAATCTGTATCTCTCTGAGTGGTCTTGGTCTCACTCTTGGCAGGCTGACCTATCATACTTGGTAAGAAGCTGGGCCATTAACTCTGGGCTTTGCATCTTTTTGTCAGCCGGCACGGAGAAGACTGGCCGCTCTTGTTATTTCAGTCTGGAAATTCTTAAGGATCCGCCTCAGTTCTTTCTGTTAGCAGGCCATGTTGGAACTTCATAGCGTGCCCTGCGGTTCTGGTCCATGGCACCCTCTCCTGGAAGCAGAGGGCTCAGATGAGGTTCAGGTGCCCTGAGGAGTCCTAGGAAAGCATGACAGATAAGTGTGTCCTGCAGTGACCTCCGCCTCCACACACCTCTTTCTAGCCTCCCAGGGTCTTTG